ACACGCAAAAATGGAACGAGAATAATTTTATTTTATATTTTCTATTTTGTATTTTTTGTTTTTCTTTCTTTTTTTTTAATTTTTTTTCTTTTTGTTTTTGTGCGCCCGCTGCTTGCCAATAATTTGAAGAGGCGTTTTGCGGAATTTTCTGCAGACGTCAGGCCTTGACTGACGTCATTAGCGCGAATTTCAAATTGGAAACAAGACAGAAGAAACGTGGTTCGAATCTCCTGTCCTGCTCCTGCCTGAAAATTACTTGGGCGCTGTGCGAGAATAAAAGCGATTATGCCGCATACAGACATCAATACGGGTTATTTATTTATCCATGAACATTTGTTGTTCTCTTTCACTTTTTTTTTAATTTTTATTTTTATCTTGGTTCTTTGGTTTTTCGTAAATGTGCAAATAATCAACGCGGAGTCAAAGGCAACAAAAATTTGAGTTATATTTAGACGATGTTCATTTTGGCGTAAAAAATAAATAAATGACAATTAGCATAGGGTGCTGCGGAACTGGGAGGGGTTGCTGGCAGGTGGGGCTGCCGCTTATCGTCGCGAGCCTGGGAAACGCTTTCGTGCTCGGCGACAATTTTGAATCTTTTTTAATAATATTTTTTATTTTTATTTTTTGACATTTCCAACGATATTGATAAGCCAAGGGGCTCATGAAGTCAGGCCGATTGCAAACATCGCGTATACAGTTCAAACTATTAACTGTATACATACATACGTATGCATAGTTTTACATATGTGTGTGTAAATATGCAGGGAATTTCCCGCAATAACAGCAACAAAGAGCCTAGCGCGAGAGCAGCCCCAACAATAACAACAACGTCGCATATAAACAAAGACGTAAAATGGAAATAACAACAACACAAACAACGCTGTGGCTGGTGCAAATTGCGAAATGTAAAAAAAAAATGCATAGAGATGACAATTAGCGAAAATTAACGATTAATGCACCAGCAAAGGACCATGTTTTTTATTGCATTAAGTTTATATGTCAGCGTATGCCTAATCTTATAACTATCACTAAGTTAGCTTCCCCGGGAATCCAAAAGTAGTCAGACATCTTAACAAAACTCATCGAACATAACAACAAAATCTTATATATTTACATCGTGCTCCTATTTCATAAACCTATCAAAAATCACATACAAATATTTTTACATTTACACGAAACTTCTTACTATTCGTCCACTGACAACACTGGCACCTGTATGCGCCGAAATTAGGCAAAAAAAAGTATATGGAAAAAAACAATGAGGGCCATTGATAAAAGCATGTTGAAAACTCTGGCACATACATAGAAAATCAATATTTGCACTTTTAGATTAGAAATTATGAGGAAAAATATAACAACTAATACATGCGTACTAGGGCACACATGTATTTAAATATTTTCATAAGAATTAAGGCCATTATGGCAAATAGGCAATGGGCCGGACCCTGCACGTCGGACCCCGTCGTTTCCAAGCCCGGGCCCTGTCTGAGTTTTGTGTGTTATCATTTGCGAATGGGGCGGGGGCGGAAATATTCATAAAAAAATACCTATACACATATACATACATGCTCGCTTATAAATGTACGTATGTATGTACGCGCACTTAAGCACACACACACACAGTGAAAGAAGAGCATGAGTGTGCGAAAGAGACACGTAGAGAGCGACAACAGCGACGACGCTGCTGTATTAACGGCAAAAAACGGCAACAACAACAAGATAAAAACCAGCCAGATCGTCTGTGTGTGTGTTTTGTTTCTGTGTGCGTGCGAGCGAGAGAGCAAGTACATAAAAACAGGTGACATTGGCAGCAGCGCTACGCAATAATAGATAAAAAAAATACATAATTAAAATAAAATGTAAAGTGCCAGCCAGGTTAAGAAATTACACGAAACATGGCCCAAAATACATAGCCAGTGTGTACACACACAGATTTATGAGCGGGAGTTGGGGGCGGACGCAACTTGTTGCGTTCATAAATGTAAACGCTTTACATATTGTTATTTCTATTTTCCACTTACCAATAATAATTAATAGAATATTTGTAAAGTGTGCGCCTTTGGGCTGTGTTTATTGCTCAGCACTTTGCGATTGCATCAACTTGTATTTTCACTTTTGCTCTCTTTATGGCCCTTGCGTTGGCGCTTGATTGGCTTTCACTATTGCTCTTGCACTTGTTGCAAAAAAACGCACATGCACTCGCTCGTCTTTTTATTCGGTTACGTTACGTTTTTGCGAAGCGTTTATTGGTATTTAATTTTTATTATTTTTATTTTCGTTTTATTTCTACGCGATCCGATTGATCCGCGAACTGTGTGGCAAATGAAACAGCTGATTGATTGATAACAGAGAGTAAAATTTAACATTTTGCTGAACTGTTATTAACAGCGATAACTTTAAAATTTGACAAATGTCGTTGTTGTTTGGTGTAAGTAAAGCCCTGTATCAATATTGGTTAATTAATTCAAAATTTTACTCGGTCTGGAGTTTGCTTAAAGAAAAGGGATCGGGTCTTAAAATGTAGATTAAAGATAATCGATGAATATCAGGCGATTTTTATTAAATAAATATCGATATATCCACAGCTAAATATACCGATATTTCATTTGATACATTGAGAAGAATCTGGAATGACTAAACACAACAGGTAAAATATTTAAAATAATTAGGCAAACGATCTTACCGTTAGTTTATCTTTTATTACAAATAAAACAATTTAAACACAGCGTTTGGTTTGCTTTCAAACTGTCATAAGCAACTTGATTGTCTTATATTTGCGTTTAGAATAAATGAAGAGCTGTAATACCAAACCTTGATCAAATTACATTAACCATAAATAATATTTGAGAAATTGTTCAACTATATATTTAACATACATTCGCAGATGTAAAATGGCCCTAAATCAGTCCAAAGAGATAGTAAAACAATGGCAAGACAAGAGCCGCCTTCGCAGCTGAAATGCCAGTCACGCCAATAATCAGCTTAAAAATGCCGTAGAAGAATAATAGCTGGAGCGCCACATGCAGACCCAGGAGGCTGTAAAAAAGGAGGACAAGTGATAAATACTCCAAGTGAATTCTAATAATATTTACTAACATTTTATCTTTACGACGTGCTTTTTCCAGATTCTTGGGCGATTCCTTGCTCAGATACTGACGCACTCCTCGGATTGTGTTGGCAAAGTACTCATCCCATGTCAGTTCCCCGATGTCAATGGTAAACTTTTTCTTATCCACTAGATTCATTGTTTTGGACAGCGCCAGTAGACGTTTGCTGTCAAAATGCCATTCTGTGAATATAAAACGCTCCAAGGTATTCAACGAGTTCCAAACGTTCTTATGAAGACGTATCAAGCTGTGAGTAAAAGAATTGTGAAGATCAATTTTAAATTAAAAGCTTGCAAAGAGCGTTAACAAGGTGCAGAAGACATGCTGTACCCCCTTAAGTGGTTATATTCTTGATCAGTCTGTCAGTTTAAAAACTATCTTATTCGAACTTGAGATAATTCCTTTTTTTTGCAGGCAGAATTGGCCGATGTTGGATAAATGCGACCAATGTATCACTTAGTTGCCAAAGATCGGTCGGAAGCAAACTTGTGTATGAAAAACACTTTGGTTTTCTAAACTATTCACCCCAAAAACTGAAATTACAAGCTGTTTTATGCTCTCAATATACAAGCCAAATCTTATCAACAACGGACTTCCATAACTTATAGTTTCAATACGAAAAATCGGTCAGTTTGCAATGATAACCTTCGGCACCCCAAACTTAATTTTACTCATTTGTTAAGACTTAGCAACGCACATGGGCCTGCCACCCGAAAGTTTGGTAACCAAGTCGAGGAAGAAGCCTGGTATGAAATGGAATAGTATGGCGCCAAGACGAAACAGCATCAAACTTTTAACCAGGCGTAGATTGGGATACCAGACAGCGCTGTTGAGTGGATAATCGTGCAAATATCCATTAATTTTGTCCTTCAAAAACTCGAAACGGAATGGCTTGTATGTGCTTGATGTCAGATGGAAGATCTGCAGCTCTGCGGGACGATCCGCATTCTTCACTCTGCAATGGGATGGAAATGTTAGCTAGCAGGATAAGTCCATGCAATAATACCTACTTAAGTGAATTGACGTAGTAGCCCGTGGTTATAATGCCATTTACCACCACATCGATGGGAATGTAGTCCATAATAATAGTGGGATCCAGTGGTAAACGACGCAAAATGCCCTTGGATGCGCCCATGAAGAAGCCTTGTGGTCCATTCTTGGATATGGTCCAGCCAGGTATGGGCTCCTTCCAAGCGGCAGTGACTGCAATCAATTAATGGCTCTATGAGATCAATAGCTTTTGTGGTATATGAAATTCACTTACTCATGCTGGGGCGTACAATGCCGCAGGGGAATTGTGAGGCCACATTGGCCACTTCATGCTCTGCCAGATGCTTTGTGAACGTGTAAGTGTTAGGATGATCCTTGAGCAATCTATAAAATGTTGTTAAAATTTATAACTTTCAGTAATTGTAAATACATCAACTCACTTGGGCTCCAACGCCTTAAGCGCCTCATCGTTGAGCGTTTCCGCCAGCTGTATAATCTTTTCTGGATCATCGGGCGAGGGATATAGCTTCTCTTCCACTTCCGTAATGTATGCATTTACATATGCGCTGGACACATGCACCAGCGCGTCCAAGTGGCGCAGCTGCTTGCATAGCTCCACAACGCGACGTGTGCCACGCAAGTTAATGTTCGTTGTCTCTTTCAGGGATTGGAAAAAGTCAAGGGTGGCAGCTGAGTGGAACACCACGTTCACGTTTTCGATAAGCGTTTCGCGATCCTTTTCTGAAATGCCCAAGTGCTCTAGGCCGACATCGCCCTCAATGGGCACAATCTTAGATAGGCGCGATTCCAGCTGTAGCTCCTTGAAGCGATCAAACACAGAGTTCTTCTTCAGCTCCTCCAGGCGCTCCTGCACGCTCTTGCCTTTCTTGGCGCGCATCAGCAGGTACAGGGTGCCCACATTGGGCACATCTCGCAGCAGCTTCTCGACTATGGTGACGCCCACAAAGCCAGTTGCACCCGTAATAAAAACATTGCGACCCGCATAGAAATCTGCGATGGGCGAGCTGCATGGGTAAAGTTGATTTAGTGAAAATATGATAACTTGTTTATATAACTAACGCTGTTTCATTTATTAACAGATTCTCTTGCATAAGAAAAAAACTTTCGCCACGTTCAATAGTTGCTTTGATTATGACAACAAAAATGCGCCTGTGCAGCAACAACTTCGTGTTGGTAGCGTACATCAAGTTCGTCGCATTTCTCCTAACGTAGTGCTCCAATGTCCAAAGCTCAAAACTAGTTTCTTTATATGGTAATGGCTATGGGATATCATATATGTGAGTTCTATCTGCTGTCAGTCGGCTGCAATATTTATCTAACTAACGACTGCTCCTAGGCGGCCTTTTAATGACCTGTGGGCGTGTTGATTTTAGCGTACAGAAATAGCGAAACAATCAATGGCAAGTCTTATGATATAAGTGGGATCACAGAAGTTCAAACACTCGAAATTTGTAGTACTAATAAGGGAATATCATGCCATTAAAAAGCCTAAGCTAAAACTAAGTTGTGAATAGTAGAATATTGCATATTATAGAACTAGAAAAAAGGGTATATTGGAGTTGGCTTATGTTAATATAGCGTATGTGGCATATGTATTTCTTTCTTCTCCTTTTTCTACAAGATCATGTTTTTAGAGTTATGACAGTCTTCAGTATGGGATCGTAGTCTCCTGCGTTTTCTATGCATTAAACATATCGTGACAATATTATAATAACCTCTGCAACCTCTGGTATAATAACAAGACAAATTCACACAAATGAACATCAAAGTTGCATATGTTAGTAGTAAGTAGGTCATATAAGTTTTAAGATGCTCTGGATAAGACCCAAGATTTGTGTTTTTTAAAACACGCAACAGCAATTTTAATTAGCTAATTTGGAACTCCGCTTTGTTTTTGGCCCTAATGATGCTCCAGTCGTTGTTTCTCCAACATGTCTCCGGCTTGTCTACGCTGCGCTGGTCGTGGCAAATGATTTTATAATGAACAAAGCAAATGATTCGTGCGTAATTTGCTTTTTGTTTGTTTGCTGTTTTTTCTTTATTTATTGTCTATTGGCCCGCAAATGGCAATTGGCTGTTGTTGATGTGTGCAATCTTTAGCTATAATGGGCACTTGATCAATTTGCATACTCTGTGCAATTTTGAGGCCCTTGAGTTCAAAGCTCGGCCCACTGCCTGCAACAAAATGCAAGCTGCTGCGTCACGGCAAAAGTTTTGATGACCACTTCAGATTCGGCTGAAACGCTTCGACTAGCTGTCAACCAAATGAGGCTTTCACTTTGCGCCACACTCAAGTGACCGCCTGGCAGCTGAACCGAAACTTAATTTGGCACTCACCTGTGCTTCTAACGTGGCAACAACTTAGCATAAATTAAAATTGTTGTTGCGGTTTTGGCTTTAAAAATTTGCAAATTTAATTTTTTTTTTTTCCACGCAAGCCCTTAGCCAATTTACTACTGGCTCTTGAGTTTTGTTAACTTTTTATTAAATTTTTATTTTTTTTTTTTTAACATTTTGACGCTACAGTAAATTGTGTTTTTATCTTGAGTAGCGCAGTGCAGTGATTAGATTTTGGTTGAGACTTTCAAACTTGGTTAAGTGGAACACTTATCTATAGCAATTAATTGTGGGCGCTATAAATGGCACAAGTGCCAAGCGGCCACTGGAAGTTAGATTTATGCAAACAGGTCAGTTATGTGGAATAGTTGTATTACAAAAATGCATTTCTCTATTATACTCATTAATTCCATTTATAAAGTTTACAAATCGGCAGCTTAAAAAACGCAACTCCACGACACCAAGTCATTCCGGGTAGGATATATGAATATATTTTAGATCTAAAAATAGTTTTAATCGACTCAATTTTAATTCTAGGTTCGCACATAAACAGGAGCCGCTATTAACTGAACAACCATCTGGACAGAACCGACCTTGTTGCCGTCCATAGAGACAGGCCAAACAGACGGTTATTAATTGCTATTTGTGGACATAATTGCTGGTAATGGAGCTTCTTTTGACTGGGCATCCATAGGGATTGGCCACCATGGGGTTTAGCGTGTTTTGTATTTTTCCACTAGAGTTCCTGCTTCATTTATCAACAACGCCTCCAAGCAGCTTGAGGGTCTAGCGAAAGAGAGAGAGAGAGAGAGAGAGAGAGGGAGAGAGAGAGAGAGAGAGAGAGAGAGAGAGAGAGAGAGAGAGAGAGAGAGAGAGAGAGAGAGAGAGAGAGAGAGAGATGCTGCCAGAGCAACCAGTTCTCGTTTTGAACAATTACCGCCATTCAGATTGCAGCAGATGATATATGTACATATATCAAGAGCTTGCGCTTTAGGTATTGCGCAGGTCAAAGTTTAAGCGGCGCATGGAATGTGGGTAATATAAGTTAGTCGAGTTTATATAGTGTTTCTTTATGGCACTAATGATGTTAATATTGTTTTGCTTCTAACTGTAAGATCTTTACGTAACCTAGCAGCCACATGCATATGTTCAAAAACTCTCTAAAAATGTAGACTGCGTGCAGCTGTTAGGGTATTTATAGCTTTACAACTTCGAAGATTGAAATTTGCTGTTGTGACTTTGGCAAACAGCTCTGAACTTTGCACCACATGTTTAAATTAAAAAGCAGAAACACTGTAACACACATAGACACACACACAGACACTCTGATAAAAGCTGTCAAACTAGCCAGAGGTATTTGTTAAATGATGCCCTATTGTGCAAGTCCATGTCCAAATATGCTTACCTGGCCATTGTAATCAAGCAGTTGTTGATTAAATCAGCAAATTTGCAGTTCAATGGTTTATCGTCTATATAGATTGATCTATCGCAGCAGAAATGTACAAAATTTCTCTTTTTTTCGTTGCCTCTAAACTTAGCTTTTTTTAACGTCGCTTCTTCCTCTTTTCACTTGGTTGTTTGTTTTAGCGCTGTTGCTGCGGGTAGTAAACAATATGCGCGCATACATGCAAACACACAATATATATGTGTGTATATGTATCTGTGAACAGTTACGTTGGCTTGTGTATGGGTGGGTAGCTGTGCTCGTTAGGAACTCTTCGTGGAGCGCGCGTTTACTACTCACAACTTGCACGTTTGCCGGCCGAAGCGAAACTGTTTCATCGGCTCGCGTTGATCGCGTCTCGTATCTCTCGGTACGCCAACGATCAGCATTATGAATAACATCGTCATATCGTGTTCAGCCCCAAACCAGTTGTGCAGTGGCGTCTTTAGCAAGGGGACTAGCCAGTATTTCTTGATCAACCGTAACGGTTAATTTTTAACAGAAATAATTTTAGTAAAGAACTCTGTTGCGAATTTCAAATAAAATGAAAATAACTAAAACACTTTTAATTTATGGATCAGAATTTTAATTTTCATCAAAACAATACTATTTTCCAAGCAGACTGTTTTAAATATCAGAAAATGTTAATTATTGCCAACCAAAAGCTTTAAAGATTAATAAATAAAAAAAAAATAAGATTAGCTGCACGCATTGTAGCATACTTTGGGGCTGACACTGAAAACGAACTTATAACAGAAATTTAAATAGCATGTCATGTAAATATCTCAAAATATCTCAATTTCAATAAATTGGGTTTTTTTCAGCTAATTTACAGGACTCTAGGAAACTTCAGAGATAAATTAAATATATAATAAAGCTGACAAAAGCACTATCGGTTGAAAACAAATTTCTTATAAGGTATGTAAGTAAGTGGAAGAGAGTCCTTTCAGGTTAGGGTTAGGTATGCTTTAGACTATTTAAGAAAACTCTTGTAAAATTTAGCTTAACATTTAAGATTGTCGTATTTATTTCATTAATAGTTTACATAGTTAATATTTTATCATTACCATTTTGTTTCGTAATTTACAAGTGCACAAACATTTGACTATTTGACTATATACCAGGACTATTTGTTTTAATGTGACTAAGTTTTGAGCTAAGTTTTAAGCTTGTTTTCATTGCAATGTGTATTGATTGATTTGTTTATTCGATTTTTACTATACTCGTATTTGCAATTGACTTGTACTCAAGTGTGAGAACTTAAAGTAAAAATACATGATATATCCTATGAAGAGCAATTATAACGATGAAGACGACTGAGTTGAAGGTGTGAAAGGTTATTTTGGACTGAATATTGCACAATATGAGCGAACACGATCCTCTCATAGCGAGCTCTACAACCAGACCAGGAAGCCCCAAACAAGGACAGCCAACGTCAGGCCAACTGGGAGGCCTAGGAAAGGCGTCAGCGCAAAGTAGAGAATTGCAAAGATCGCTACAAAGCCGGCATAGTACAGGACGTTGAAGCTGAAATTGAGGACAATTAGATGAAGATCTTGGAAATTCAGATTACAAACACTTACACCTTCCAATAGTTGCGATGCCATTGTGTGGTCACCGCCGACTCCTTGAAGTAGAAGCGTCTAATGCCGATCAGGCAGCGATCGATAAACTCGGACCAATCACAGCGGCTGGCATCGAAGTTGTAGCGCTTGCGATCGCTGTCATGGATCAGTGAGGAGACGCGCAGGGCATTCTTCATGGAATACCGGAAATCCTTGTCCAGGAAATAATCAAATGCCTTGGTGCCATTCTGGAACACGCGCATGTACTCATAGGCGCTGCGGTATTCAAATATGGGATTATTTAGAGCTCACATTTGGAGAAGAGTGACCACCTACGTGTGCTGCGGCATGCCAATGCCAAAGAGCTTTTCCGGAATATAGAAGATCATAGCGGGCAGCAGATGAAACAGATAGAAGAACAGATTATAGCGCCAGCCATTGCGCAGCTTTGTCTTTGGCTTCCACACAAAGCTGTTGGGCGGATGACGTTCCACGCTGTCATTGATTATGTTGCAGAATTGCGAAAGAGTCAGCGGATTCACCTCGCCCGATGTGCAGTGTATTATCTCGGGTTTATCCAGATGACGTGTGCCCACATACCAGCCCATGACCAGGGAACTGTTGATCACATAGTCGCATGGTATGATGTCAATCACGGCATTTGCACGGCCGGACATGGTGCGAAAGATGCCCTTGACAAATCCGGCCAGGAAACCCAAATGCCCCGAATTGGCATTGCCCACCCAGCCCTTCATGGGATGCTCCAGTGTGCCGTAAACTATGAATGGGACATAGTTTATTCTTATTGGAAGTTTCGTTGGTAGCTGAACTCACCTATAGATGGCCTAACTATGGCTGCCGGCAGACCGGACATCTCCGCCATGAGCAGATTCTCCGACAGATTCTTGGTAAATGTATACGTATTGGGATGATCCTTGAGGTAGCTTTTGCACTTCTGCTGCGTGAAATCCACCCAGGCTTCTTCGTTCTCCGCCATTTTCATCATCTCGTATGGATCGAACTGTGACTTGTACACATCTTCGGTGATCAGGCCACGATTGTTGCTATTGCAAAAGGCCGTCGAGCAGTAGATGTAGGCGGACAACTGCTTCAGCTGCTTGGCCAGCTCAATGGTGCGCATGGTGCCCGTCAGATTCGTGAATATAGCCGTGCGCAAAGGTGAATTGAACCTGATCGTGGCGGCGCTATGATAGATTACATTCACACGATCGATCAGCTCCTGTAGCAGATCGTTGCCAAAGCCAAAGTTCGGCTCGGTCAGCTCCCCCACAACTGGCACGACCTTGGCCAGCGTTTTCTCATTGTACTTCTGGAAGATCTATGGATTGGGAAGATAGAGATGGGAATATTTATATAATTTTTTAATTATTATGCTCATATAATAATAATTGCAATGCCCACGCCTTACACAAAAATAAAAACCGTCTGTACTCAGAAAAAAACTGGAAATTTCATCAAATTTATTATTACACGCTTTTTGTTTAAAGTATGCTTAAGAGTGTGTAAAATAGTTGAATAAAAAAAAAACAAAGTACATTTTGTTATTACGCTATTAAAAGTGCGTTTAAAATTATAATGATTAAAAGAGTGTCAAGAGATCTGCCCAAAAAGACATGCGTATCTACATACATATGTGGTACTCAGATATGCGGCTATTACAAATGTTGGCTATACAAAGAGCCGCTAAAGAGGCCTGCTAAGGGGCCAGAGCGGAAGACACTTCGGCTTCGACAAATTAACGCACCATTAAGGCGGCCGTAATTGTCTTGAATAATGGACCCGGGTCGAAATGGGTCAGCCTACGGTCAAAAGTTGTCGGAGGCGTGGTTGAAGGGTTGCCCTTCGACGAGGTTTATCTAACACTCACCGGCTTCTGGAGCAAGCGATTGATGCGCTCGTTGGGATCGAAGTTGCGTTTGCCACGCACCAGCACATAGATGGTGCCGATATCGGGATGTGTGTCCAGCAGCGCCTCGATGAGAACGGTGCCCAGAAACCCGGTACCGCCGGTCACGAAAATGTTTTTGTGCGCAAAAAATTCGGGCACTGTCAGGGCGGTGCTTAGCTGACGCTGGCTGCTGTTCGGAGATTCAGTTCCAGCTTTGCTGATCCCGATTTTACTATTGGTGTTAATGTTATTGTTGTGATTGCTGTTGCCATGCTCCGTTATGACGGCCATAGTGTAGGGCTCTAGATTTGTGGGTGGCGCCAACTTGCTGCTGGATTTGTCTACGGTTGCACGCTGAAAGTTATAAAAAATTAACTTAACATGAGTTTCTCTTCATTCTGGTTGGGAAGATAAAAGTGCAATGTTCCTCATATAATCGACATATTACCTACCGTTTGTTGCATATAGCTCTTTTAAGAGCTGAGCTACGCCTCAAAAACCTAGTCTCAAAATCAATTTTTATCGATTTTATCAAAAATCGATTTGATCGATATTATTGAAAATCGCTTTTTGGCGATATGCTAAAAATGATTTATTCATTCTGCTTATGGTATACGTATCTCTATACATAAAACTGTTTCTCCTGATTGACTGATTGGTGATCAACGCAAAGCCCATACCGTAAGAGCTGGGAAGCTGAAATTTTCACTGTAGTTACCTTATGTGATGAAGGTGTACGTTCAGACGGGATTTCTGGAAATTCCACCCGCAAGTGTCGAAAATTCGCGAAAAACGTTTGTTTGAAACTTTTTTGTTTACCATCCGATCAGCTTCAAGCTCATTTTCAAACATTTTTGTTTAAACTCATTTGAGGGGTGTTTCACACTTTTCGAGAAATCCATTCCTCCTTCGTGGAAATGGGGGTCAAAGATTTGGTGGGTGACGTTTCGCGCTCAAATGCATATCCAAGGATCTATATGAAAAATTTTTTGAGACGTGTTTCTCATTTCAAAGCTTCCTCGGTGCAAAGTGCGATTCAAAGATTTTTTCTATGAAATTTTAAGTTTTGTTCGATTTGCTTCAAACTTATTTTGAAAGCTCTACATAAGGAGCGGTTTGG